GACAAGCCTGTGAGCAGAAACACAGGGTGCCTTGTGCATTTTGTAAATTTATAAGACAGCTCCTAGTTCATGTTTGAGCCAACTGCATTTTCCTTCTAAGACCACCTCATTCTTTATTTTCCCTCCATTTGCTTTTATACAGAGTAATTCAAAGTCTGTTTGTTTATATTCCCATTGTCAAAACTCAGAGAAGTATGACTAATTCCAAGCCAGAAGTGGTGCTTAGTTTATTGTCTGTGACAACCTCTAAGTAAGCCAGAGGGGTGCACATGATTCTGAGCCATGTTTGTGGATGTAAGAGACAGGTTCCACTGGTCTCACGCAATATCCATGTCATCATCACTGGCGACATCGCTGTAGATGAGTGCACAGGAGTGCATGCATATTAATGCCAAAACAGGGAGCTATGCAGCTGCCAATATCTAGTTAGCTGGGTTCATTCTGAGATGGCACCAGTAGGACTTGAATTGTTCAACTCCATAGATCTGGCTCCAGACCAGAACATAATTAGAACTTTTCTCTAAATAAGTAAGAAAGGGTTCCCTTTGTTTCTGCTAACAGCAATATAAATATAAAAGAGAAAAGAACAGCAATTTCCCCAGCCCATAGTGAGAAGAGCTCCCTGTGAGCTGAATGGAGAGCTCTTGTTGGCTAAATGGGTAAAACCCCAAACCAAACCTGTTGCCCTCAAGTTGGTTCCCACTCATAGTGACCCCAGACACTGCGGAGAAGAGCTGTTTCGTAGCGTTCTCGTGACTGTAATCTTGATATAGGCAGGTCACCAGGTCTTTCTTCCGAGACTGCACTGGGTGGGTTCAAACCTCTAACCTTTAGGTTAGTAGTTGTTGTTAAGTGTGATAGAGTCGGTTCTGACTCACAGCAACCCTGTATAAGGTTTCCAAGAAGTGGCTGGTGAGTTTGAATCGCTGACTTTGTGGTTCAAACTGACCTTGTACTCCAGCACATTAGCCCACAGTGCCTCACCAGTTGTTGTTAAGCGCCATCAAGTCAGCTCCAACCCACAGCGACCCTGTATAGGGTTTCCAAGGAGCGGCTGGTGAGCTTGAACCACTGACTTTGTGGTTTAAACGACTTTGCAGTCCAGCTCAGTCCAGTGCATTAACCCACAGCACCACACCAGAACTCTGCCACACCAGTGCAAACAGTTTATGTCACCCAGGGTAACAATAAATGGGTAACTTGCAGAAAACTGATGAGGTCATGCATATTTTCACTTTCTCATATGGGCCCTCACCAGTAGGCTCACCTGGACAATACAGTTTCATCCTGACTGCTTCCTGTTTCCTTCTTTGAAAGGGCTCGTGGTTCAGCTCCTCCAGTTCCTTCCTTCTTCTCAAAGAAAAGCAGGTCCCTTGAGTGTAAACATCTTTGCCCTCCTGCTGCTCCTTACCCCTCACCCTCAAACTCACCCTCATGTGCCCCCTCCAGGCTCTGACCAAGAAATGCCATCTCTTGTGCCAGCTTCTCCCCAATTCTCAGTTCCAGCCTCTCCCTCTGCTATGCAGAAGACCCAATTCAAACCTTTCTCGAGGATTCTTAAGACCCTACTTCTATGTAGTCTCTCTGTCCCCTTCTATCCCCACTTCCCTCTAACTCAGTCCCCCTTGCTGCTAGCAGTGATTTTTGTCATTAAAAATTTTCTCACTCTGTGCTGAAAATCTCTTGTGACTTTTGTTCCTTCTTATAATCTACTATTCATAACTTAGCCTAGGAGAGTCTCTAGGTATAGAGACTGTCCAACCTTCTGACCTTCTCCAACCCTTGCACCACCCCCTTGAACCTCATTCCTCAGTGATGTTCAGGGACATGCAAAGTCTTTGCACACATGATTCTTTGGATGTCATTATATTAAGCTCCCCCTTCACAGCCTTGCCCTTGGCCATCTCAGTATCCAGGGCACAGCCTTCTGTGCTTGTCTTTGTTTTTCTGTCCAAGTATTTTTGTATATTAAATGCTCAATAAATGCCACAACCCAGGCTATTGTGTTTTCAATAGCCTCATATGGATGCGAAAGCTGGACAATGAATAAGGAGGATCGTAGAAGAATTGATGCCTTTGAGTTGTGGTGTTGGAGGAGAATACTAAAAGTGCCATGGACTGCCAAAAGAACCA